ATGCAGTCTCTTGCAGCCACTGAACTCTGCCATTGTAGCACAAAAACAGCCATAGACAATACGTAGTTGTCAGTTAAGCATGCTGTGTTCCAATAAAACGTCATTTACAAAACTAGGCAGTGGACTTCAGTGCATCAAGGAGATGATCATGAAAGTGCAAAGACATCCCACAGAATGGGAGAAAATACCTATAAATCATATCTGATAACTTATATCCAGAATATATTAAAAAAAGGAACAACTTACAACTCAAATAAAAAGACAACCCCATTTTAAAGTGGACAAAGGATTTAAATAGACATTTCTCCAAAGAAGATACACATATGCTGAAAAACACCTGAAAAGTTGCTCAATGTCATTAGACAACTCAAAATCACAAGATACCATTTCACACCCACGAGAGTGAAGATGTGGAGAAATTGCACCCCTCATTTACTGCTGGTGGGAGTGTAAAATGGTTTAGGCACTGTGGAAAACAGCAGTTCCTCACAGTCAGTTACTATATGACCCAATACACTACTATATGAAGAAATAAAACCACATTTACACAAAAACTTGTATGCAAATGTTCACAGCTTCATTCTTCATGATAGCCAAAAAATGGAAATAACTCAAATGTCTGTCAGTTGATGGGTGGGTAAATAACGTGGTATATCCATTCAATAGAATGTTATTCAGCTATGAAAAGGAATGAGATACTAAATACATGCTGCAATATGGATGAGCCTTGGAAACATACTAAATGGAAAAAGCCAGAGACAAAAGGTACATTGTGTAATTTCACTCATGAAATATACAAAATAGGCAAATTTATAGGGCCAAAAAGTATAAAACAAGAACTCCAAGTCATAAAAATTAAAGGCTTCAAATCCCCTTGCCTGTTTGGTTTCTCAGCTCAAATGATATCACTCCCATATTTTTAATCTTTTCTCCAAATTTAAAATCTGTTTCCATGGATGTTTCTCTCCCACAAAAGTTACCTCAATTGCATCCAGAGTATCATTCAGTTGTTTTCTTTCGTTCTTCTGTTTATGGTCCATCTCAGGCTCTTCATAGAAGACTCCAAAATTGAGGTATACTTGCACAGAACCAAAGTGATTTTGCTGATTTTTTAGACAAAGTTGATAAAAACCTGTAGGAATCCCTGGATCATTAGCAAGTCTTGGTCTCCCACCCTTTGTTGATTTCTCACCCTGTAGGTGTGGAGATAACTGTTCTCCGGGGATCAGTGTGCTACATTAGCACCTTCTTTTTACTTAGCAAGTACAGCAATCCAGTTGTTGATGTAGAAGTTAGACTGATCTTAAATGGAACTTATTTTACTAAACATTACTTATAATAATCATGTTTTGGCAGATATTACTAATAGGTCTATATAGAAAAGAAATAGATGTTTCCGCCCTCTTTTTCAACCTATTATCTCTGAAGGAATTTCTCAAATTGAGTTGAAATTAAGAGCTGGAGGATACCATCTTAAACTTAAACTAGGCAAAAATGGATGTGAATGAAAGAAATGAGTAACTAACTGCAAGGTGGTCTGTACAGGGACTGATGGTTTTGGGCATGTACTGGTGCTGGTTCTCAGCTGGGGTCACCTCCCCTTGTGTGTGTGGAGTGTTTTTACCGAAATGATTGGAAGGCACTACTGGCATGGAGGGGCCAAAGATGCTAAATATCCTATAATACTACACAGTGAAGGATCGTCTATGCTCCTGTTGAAAAACATGTTTTTTCGTACACCTGGCTGGTAGAGAGTGCTGCTGACTGGTGCTGTCCCAGGTGGGGACAGGCTCGATCTGGCTGTAGGACCTTCCTGGTGACTCGAGAAGTGCTTTGTTGTGGGATGTGGATATTTTTCATGGCTGTGCATTTCCTCTTGTTCTGGGTGCTTTTTGGTAACTGGGTCATGTATTTCAATGACTGGAAAGAGATGTCATTCCATAATAAATTTACTAAATGAAATTCTGTATCTTTAACGAGTCTGTCTGTTTGGGGCACTTTCCCATATTCTGGTTAGTTGGGGATGATGAGATAAAATTGAGTTTCTGGACCGTGGAGTTATAATTAGTCACCTGGAGACTGCCCCCAAACTGCCAGTGGACTACCACTTGGCCATTGGCAGTCTCCAGGAAAACTGTTTTTTTGTGTTCTAGGCTAAAGTTTTTTCCTACTGTTTTACCATCCTATGCAAAAAAGCCAGGGTTTTCACATTTTAGCCACTTAATTTTAATGTGTCCTCATCATTTTCCAAATTTAAAAGAAAGATGATTATTAGAATAGCTGTAGTGATAAAAACAGACCTGTCTCATGGGTAGAGAAGTTAATCTGGCCCCGAACATTCTGAGAGGTTTCTATGAGAAAACCTTGTGGGGTATGTGCAGTGGCAGCAATATGCCGGTCATGTGATATTCCCATTGTCCGCTGAACCTGCCGAGACACATTAAAGAGGGAGAACAGTCCCTGATACATCACCAAGAAGCTAGTTAAGTGGTAAGATTGACATCCTATGTGGTTCTCAATCAGGGATGGTACTGCCCACCCCTTCTGGGAATTTGGATTGAGGTAACAATGGTGTTGCGATGGGGTGAGGAGAGACAGCAAAGATGAACATCCTGCCAGTTAGAAACAGAACTGCAGGACAGAGAATTGCCCCAAATTCAGATGGCACTCCTATAAAGAAGACATGTCACAGACCTTATAGCAGCCTGAATCAGTTGGTGTGCAAGATTCTGGTTGTAGAGTCTTGACTGAACTAGCTTGGCTTTGAGCTCCCTGATGTTGTCCTCACACACGTGGGCTTATTTCATGCTTCATAGGAAATAAGGCACTCAGTAGGCACTTATTGCCAAGCTGGGTCTTGATAAGCCCAGGCTACAGTGCGCTGACTATACTCTTCTATCACAATTTAAAGATAAAAAGTTCTGGTAAGTTCATTTAAAATAAGTTGTTTTTGTTTTATTTTTTAAATTGATTTCAGAGAGGGGGAGAAATAGAAACATCAATGATGAGAATCATCTATTCGCTGCCTCCTGCGTCCCCTACTGGGATCGAGCCTGTAACCTGGGCATGTGCCCTGACGGGGAATCAAGTAGTGACCTCCTGGTTCATGGGTCAATGCTCAACCAGGAAGCCACACCGGCTCGGCAAAATAAGTTCGAAGTTACAGTGGAGTAAGATCAGTATACATAATCATTACTATGTAAACAGATTAGAAAATTAAGGTTTCTAAGATGAAAAACAAAGGGATTGAACAGCCTCTAACTTCACTATTGAGCAAGATGGATTTAAGTAGCTCGTCTGTGATCAGGCAACTTAAAAACATTTACCTTCTTACACAAACAGGACTGTCTGGCCCAATAGAGAAATCTTGAGCCAGTGACTCTCCAATTTGCCAGAATTACCCCTAAAGGCAAGAGACTAAATGTTGCTCTCCCAGCCCCATAAACTGAAGTGTCTTTTTGAAATCTCTTTAAAGTTCATGTAACTTTCCATATCTATATTATTTTCATATTTTAAAAATGCATTTTCTCATCCCCAAATCCGAGTAAATGTGATGATTGTTTCTCCAGGAAGAAGCACCCCATTTGTCCCATGGTTTTGAGCACAATTCCATAGCCTCCAGTTTGGGAAGCCAAGCCATATGTTTTAGTGATTATTCATCTAAGAGTTTCCATCTAACTGCAGGTCTATTTCATTAACAGATGGAGAATCACAGCATAATAAAGACAACCAGAACCTCATGTTAGTCTAGGACTTGACCCACTTTACAAAAGGAAACAACCAAAAAAATTCTCCCATGTGGCCAGAGGAGCCCAAGTACCTACCTCATAGCTGAAATAGAAGTATCCAGTTTGGTGGGCAAATTGCCAAAAGCATTCTATACCTCCTGGAGGGATCATGATGGCAAAGTCATATCGATCTGCTCCCCGGAAGAGTGACTGGTCCCCAGAGCCACTAAGGGGTTCTGTTTTCTGGCTCCTAGCAGAGGTCACTAGGTTCAGAACCACCAGTCCAGCCCCAATGAGCAAAGGGAACATGCTGATTCCCGGAGACTCCTGCAGGTGAACTGCCTGCAGCCCAGTGGAACCAAGTAGTTTAGATAACTGCTAGGGTAATCATTAACTCCCCAAGTCACACCTGGGCTGGCTTCAGGGCCACACATAGATATTCCATAAAGAACTGGCATGATACCGCATGTGTGGCTCACAAGAAGAGTTTTTGCTTTCACCTAGTAAAACTCAGCAGCTTACCAAGCCTACTTCATGGGTGCTAGGTAGAATCTACTACTTTGATATATCTCTATCCTTCCTTTTGGCTGTCATTTTTTCAGTTCTTGCTTCTTGGGGATAAATACTGAATAAGTTTATTTACAACCATCTGAATAGTATAGACAGAAGTTGGCTGGGGAGATTTTTCTCTTATTCAAATCAAATTGCTAGGTGATAACCAATGTTATAGTTGAAAGAACAAAACCCATGAAAATGTGTGAACAAATTTAAATGGGTGTAGAGTGAGCAAAAGACAGAAATGGATTTTCAGATTCCAGTGGCTGGCTCACCATCCATAAGCACAGCTGGTACTGCAGGGGCCCTGACTGGGCCTCACACTCTTACCCATCAGGACAGTATTTCTGTCACTCTCTGAGTCGTGTCAATGTCTAAATGTTTTTATTTCAGCCATAATCTTAAAAAACAAAACAGCATTAACAGCTTCTAAGCAAGTCTTGCTTCAGATTCATCACATTGACTCCAAGTGTAATACCTGAACTATCACAAGGGAATAAGCAAAGAACAGACTTCATAATTGTGTTCAGTTCTGGAGGAGAGCGAATGTCACAGCACTCTTCTTGCTGAGGTGGAGGTGGGAGAGACCGGGATCATTTCTCAGCACACAGTGGCACAGGCACCCCACCCAAGTTCCCCGCTGCCAGTTCTTACACTACTGGACATGAGCAGTGACTTAGACTCAGCGAAACAGTCAACAGTACATGGTAAGTTTTCTAGTTCTCTAGAAGCCAAAGTCTGTATTTTGTTTGTACACACTTCATTAACATTATAACACTGAAGCGATGTTTTAAAAAATGTTCATGGACCTGTACATTTTTCACATTTGAGAAATGCTGATTAGGATATTTTGCTTCCCTAAATCATCGCAGTGTCACTCTTCTACCCAGAGCACGCCATCTTACTGAGGTGAGTTGAGGGGAGAAAAGCTTCTGGATCCGAATCCAGTTTAGAGGGAGACCACACTAGCTGCCACCAGATCAAGAGGCGGCGGCTGTATTGAGAGGAGATCAAGTTCTCACTGTCGTTTCATTTGGGGTTCATTGACGGAAAAAACAGTAGTACCAAACCCCCAAACATGCAGTTAACAGGTAATAAAGCTGTACAAAGCTTCCAACTTGTAACTACAAGATGAATTTGAAACTTTAGCATTTCTTTACATCTTTCACTCCAAGAGAAAAAGGGTTCCAGGTGGCTTCCAAAGATGACAATATCCAGTACAGTTTGACATCGCTTTTTAACAGTCAACGTGGTTCAGCAGAACTTGTATAATTAACATTTTGCCACCTCCACGTGTTGAGCTGCAATTAAACAGCCACTTATATTTGAGAGAAGCAAGACTTTAATGAAGAAGGCTACAAGTTATGGACAATAATTAGTTCTCAAATTTTAAAAAATGATTACAGAAAACACTTTACTGAATTTTCTTTTTGCTAAAAAGACAGTCTTTAAGGATGTCCAAGAAAGACAGCAAGCACAACACAGTACAAAAGAAGGAAATGTTGAATTCCAGTGCAAGACACTAACATAGCACAATTAGGGAATCAGGTGGAAGCAACCATTTTCACAAAGAATGGGATTAGGCTTTTATATTCAATCAGGATTGGGTTGTTTTTTTGTTTTTTTTAAGCTTTAAAAGTCCAGCATAAGGAAGAGAATTGAGAAGAGAGAATGGGGCAAGGGGCTAAGCGTATCTACAATCACCAAAAAAACACACGGGTTCCACCACATGAGAAGTGGAGGTTAAACCTGCCTACGTAGCCCAGCAAATATTAGGAGCAAATGCCAAGACTAGGTCTAGGTGTTGATGTCACAACAGGCTAAAACAGTTTTTAAAGGGACTCTGATTCCACCAGGACTGGTCTCTCATCATCGTGGGCTCTGACAGACGAAGTTCCTTTGCATTTGCAACAAAAGGCCAAAGCTTTACCTGGAACAAGTTCACTCCAAATAATGCTCACGTTGCTGGTTTTAACAGGTCCTGGAGTCATAAGTGTTCCTAAAAGACTCCACCATTTCCTAGGAGAAGGTCCTACTGATTACCAGGGATTGGAATTCAAGCAAACCACTGAAGAAGGGAAATACTAATGATATTCTGGCACTGTACAAGCTGTCTGCCTGTTGTCTCTGCCAAGAACATGGGATATACTTGGCTTGCAGCTCCATGATCTCCAACAGCGATGAAGTGGAACTGGGACCTCCCCCACGTCAGAGGAGGATGCCCAAAATTTTCATCCCAGCCCAACTTCTGAAAGAAAGCAGACTATCGGGGCTATTATTAGGAACCATGCTCCTGTGAATTCTGTGGAAATGAAAGCTGTTTCAGTTCATGCCAAGTCTTTTCATGGTCCGCCAGCGATCCTTAATCATCACAGCTGTTCGGTTAATAAATGGGTAATTTTTAGAAATGGCAGCCCAGTTTCCTTCCCCGAATTTCTGCACTCCAGCCTTGATCCACTCGCTCTCCTCTACAGTCCACTTCTGTAAAAGAAAACAAAAAGATTTATCATAACCTGGCTCTCCACTTATTTACATCTCCATACAGTGAAGAGGTAAACTCAAGAAACCTAGGAGAATATGAACCCCAAAAAAAGTTTTATATTTTTAAAACCTGATACAGACAATAAGTTAACACTGGATTCAGATATTTAAAATTTTCAATGTCCTGCCATTTCACTTCAATTAATAATCACTTGTGCATTCAAGCGTCAAACTTGTGTGTTGTTCATGATCAGGAACATGTGTCAGGTTGCTGTCCAACTAGATTTTTCTTCCAGAGAATAACTACAGTAAGCCCTCACTTAAGGCAGCTTTAAGTGAGAAGACATATTAACAAAACCAATTTTATCCTAGGCTAATGAATAGAAACAAGACAAGTACAGCATCTAATCAACATTATAACAAAACATTGATCGAAATGACGTTACTTGAGGATCTGCTGTATTTAACTTAGTTTGGGTCATCAGAAAAACGCAAAGGATTTTTTGCCAGGTGCATGGGTAGTCTATCTGTGAGATGTGGGTACTTATTTTACCTCTGTTCTACCCACACAACCAGAAAAGATCAGAAAAGAGAATTTTAAATTACCTGCTTTTTTGTTACACTGCTTGTACTCTCTTCATCTGGTGCAGCTGGAAAACATTAAAAGTAGATTCATTTCAGAGTTAACTTTCTCTGCACAAACACCAGAAAAAGACATAGAATGTCCCTAATGGGAAAGCTTGATTCAGATTTCACAAACTTTGAGAAAAGAAAGGATATCACCAAAGGAGAATTTGGTTTTGTCCTTTGTTTGCAAGATACCAATCATTTCAGCCCATGAAAATCTGTACACAGCAAATACAATACAAAAAGGCATTAATAAATGTTGGTTAATGATGGATTTGGGGCTCTTTAATAAAACTAACATTTTCTAAAATTACTGAGTGTGGTATTTAAAACCCTAATATACATCTTATACATACATGATTTCTGCTTTATAACCCCTTGCTAATCACTGTTTTGAAATAACTTTTACTGTTTCATGTCAGAATTTTAAAATCCCTGATCATTTTATATAAGTTTAGGTTTAATTCCTTAAACAGAAGAACAGGGTAATGCCCTAGCTGGTTTGGCTCAGTGGATAGAGCATCGGTCCGCAGACTGAAGGGTCCCAGTTCCATTCCGGTCAAGGGCACATACCTCACTCAGTTGCAGGCTTGATCCCTGACCCTGGTTGGAGCATGTGTGGGATGCAATCAATGTCTCTCTCACATCAAGATGTTTCTCTCTCTGTGTCTCTCCCCCTCCCTTCCACTGTCTCTTAAAAAAAAAACCTATATAATAAAAGCCTAATACGCAAATTTTCCGCTCGACCACTTGCTATGACCTGCGCTGCCCACCAGGGGACGGCGCGGCACGGTACTGGCAGCAGGTGGCTGTGGAGGCGCTGCCGGCCCTGATGGGCCCCGACGAGAGCGGGACCACAGAGCAGGTGGGCAGGCAGCGCCAGGCCAAGGTGGTGCAAGCGGGGCCCTATTACCCCACAGACAGCGACCAGCGGCGGGGCCGCAACCCAGCTCCCAGATACTGAGGGAGCCAGATGGGGGCCTGATGACTCTAGCAGAGGGGACGCCTGGGGGCCCTGGTACTGCCCAGGGCCCAGAGGTCAGCTGGGACCTGCCCTTCCATGCCAGACGCTCGTGCTTTGATCGTCAGACAGGCCTAGAGACCACACTCATGCATGAATTTCAGACACTGGGCCTCTAATCTACAGGCTAAGTGACTGGCTGACCGGCTGGTAGGTATGACGCGCACTGACCACCAGGGGGCAGACGCTAAATGCAGGAGCTGCTGAGGTCACTCAACTTTGTAGAGTGCCCTCTTGCACTCTGGGACCCCTTGGGGGATGTTGGGACTGCTGGTTTCGGCCCGATCCCTGCAGGCCAGGCCGAGGGATCCCACCTGCCGGAGCGACCCCCACTCACTCCGCAGAAGCCCTTCGAGCCCCGGCACCCCCCAGGTGTGGCCGGCCGGGAGGGACCAAGGGAAGTTGGCTGCAGGGCATGTCCACTCTGCCCTGCCAGCCACCTTCTAATTAATTTCTTTTCAATGTGCACAAATCTGTGCACCGGGCCTCTCGTACAAGTATAAAAGACATGCCATTTCAAGGCAATGAGAGATAGTTAAAAAGCTGCAAGAAAAGGCAAAGTTGCATAAACATGAAACTTGCTAGATGTCTCAGCAGATGCCAAAGTCCCAGCAGTGTTTCCTAAACAATGGAGGAAGGTGGCTCAGAGCAGATTATTTATTTTTAAATTATTTAGTATTTCATACTATAGTGGAAGCATATTTCTAAAGCTGACACACATCTGGACTGCATTGGAAGTGGATGTTTCCTAGAACTTTTATATTCTGTTGTTCTTAGCTATTTAATGCCACTGTTAATCATTTTGTTATTTCCCCCATTTTCCCTGTGATCTTGATCTTGCCAACTATGTTTTTGCTACTGAAGCTACTTTTTTTTTTAATTGATTTTTTACAGAGAGGAGGGGAGAGGGACAGAGAGTTACAAACATCGATGAGAGAGAAACATCGATCAGCTGCCTCCTGCACACTCCCCACTGGGGATGTGCCCGCAACCAAAGTACATGCCCCTGACCAGAATCAAACCCGGGACCCTTGAGTCCGCTCTATCTACCAAGCCAAACCGGTTAGGGCTACTGAAGCTACTTTTAAAAGACAAAACCTAGGAAGTGGCA